GCCTCCCTCCATCCAGATATACCACATCCACCGGCCTCCCTCCATCCAGATACACCACATCCACCGGCCTCCCTCCATCCAGATATAGCACATCTACCGGCCTCCCTCCATCCAGATACACCACATCCACCGGCCTCCCTCCATCCAGATATACCACATCCACCGACCTCACTCCATCCAGATATACCACATCTACCGGCCTCCCTCCATCCAGATATACCCCATCCACTAACCTACCTCCATCCAGGCACACCACATCCACCAACCTCCCTCCATCCAGGTACACCACATCCACCGGCCTCCCTCCATCCAGGCACACCACATCCACCAACCTCCCTCCATCCAGGTACACCACATCCACTGGTCTCCCTCCATCCAGATACACCACATCCACCGTCCTCCATCCAGGCACACCACATCCACCAACCTGCCTCCATCCAGGTACACCACATCCACCGGCCTCCCTTCATCCAGATCTCTAGTTACCTCTTCGTAGAATGTTAGAAGATTTAGACTGAGTCATACAGTGAATAACCTATTCTGGACATGAAAGGAAGATGAGACAGCACTGTGTAATATAAAAGAGTTTTATTAATAAAAGTAACAACATGCACATAATATGATCAAGATGGAGCTTCTTATTTATCACAGTGTAAGCAATGTTTCAGGGCACATGGCACCTTCATTAGGTAACCCGTGTTTACCTGATGAAGGGGCTAGAAAACCATTTGGTGTGCACCATTTCCTCTTCTACTTACAACCTTTGTCTTCAGCTATAACAATACAAGCTCATTGCAGCAGAACAGCTTAGAGTTTCTCATCGTCTCTCACACATTCTTCTTTATAAACCCTCTATAAGGTTAGAGGACCTGAAGGAGAAGAGGCCATGACTATCAGACATGTAACCTGACTGAAGACTGAGCCAACCTTCTTCAGGAGGGGCGGTCTCTCCTGTGGGTATTTCTCTTAGTTTACAGTGCCATGGACAATATTGTTTTAAAACATTTGTGTTCGATTCCTCAGCCGATCAGTCGAAGAGACCGAAAATCAGCCAAAACAATTACATTAAATCTGAACACCGTTAAATTACGAATGTACCCTTGTACTTATTCCCATGAGTATAGGGGCAGATATCTAGTGAAAACAAAACAGACAGGTTCGGTCCGCCTACTTAGTGTAGGCGGTCCAAGGGTTAATTTAATGATCGGGACAGACCATGAGTATATAGATTATTTTTAAAAAAATATTTATTTAAGTATCAAAAAATTGTAACAGCTACGGCCAAACTCTGTTCGTCGACCAATTAAAAGCGGGATACACGTAAAAATAAGAGACAAGAAAAAATATACAAAAACAAAAAACTTTTTTACAAAAACATCAGAACTGACGGTGGATTTCGTTGCCTTTAGTAGGACTGTCTATGCCCCTTAGTATTGTTACACCTTCGTTACAGCTTGTGGCTACTTCCCAATTAAATATAGAGGTTTGTTTTATCCGTTGGGTAATCTTCCTGTGTGTTATTCACTCGGCCCGTATAATTCAAGTGGGATGCTTTAGTTTTGAAACTTTGTCTCTTTGTGTCAATTCTTTCTAGTAACATGTAGTTTTTCACCCATTGGTTACTAGGGTGTTTATGTTGATATATTGCACGATATTGGCTATTGTCTTTGCATATTTGTTTTTTTGATTAAATCATCCTACTCCAGCTATATTTTCCATTTGGGGTGTTTAGAAGTAAGCAATTTCCTTGTGGAGTCTCGGCGATTCGGTTATACTT